TTACACAGTTACAGAAGGACACTTTGCCAAATTATTGCAAGCCATCTTGAGTGTCTGATAGAATGTATAAACCTTTTACCTTTCTAGAGAAGATACTAACTTCTCTTCCTTACGCCTTTCCAGGTCTTTCACAATGAACTTGACAAGACCTATTAGCTTTTCAATCTAAACAGTGATAGACGTACGATGAACCCAGAAGTGTGACATGCTCTAATCACAGTAACACAGGTAGCCAATACAAACGTGTCATCTTAGCGCACACAAGTAATTAATATGATATTTATGCTAAAAAAAAGTGATATTGGTTAGTTTAATGAAACAAAAGCTATGTTGGATTCTCATCCTAAAAAGGCCATGGAAGACACCCACCAATTAAAAACAATGATACAGCTGATTTTTGGTATTGCATATATGCTTGACTACTTCAGATAACTGTTACCTTTCTTTAGTTTAGCCAAAATCTACTTTCAAAAGAAAGAAACAAACACACAGACTCAGAAAACAAAACCTCCTAAATTTATCCCAAATAACAACATAACAGCATCCCCCATTTAACAAGTGATCATAGAATCACAGAATCATAGAATCGTCAGAGTTAGAAAAGACCTTCAAGATCATCTAGTCCAACCATCCACCTACCACCAATGCTGCCCACTAAACCATGTCCCTGTGTACCACATCTACACATTCACTGAACAGCTCCAGGGATGGTGGCTCCACTACCTCCCTGGGCAGCCTGTTCCAGTGTCTCATCACTCCTTTTGAGAATAAGTTGCTTCTAATATCCAACCTGAACCTCTCCTGGTGCAATTCGAAGCCATTCCCACTCATTGTATCAAATAATTTGGATGTTAACAGAAGATACATTTATTTCAGGGAACAAAAGTGAACGCCAATGAGCAATAAGGGCCAACTTCTCCATAAGGGACAGGGAGCCATGGGAGATGACCTCCCAGCAGGGCATGGGACCAGTCCTACAGGGTCCCATGAAGTGAGCATCATCCATTTTGAGATCTGGTTAATTCCCAACGTGCAGTAAGCTGCTTCTCCTGAGAGGCTTTGTCTGCTTATGTAATATTGCTAACATATCAAGAATAAGTATACTCACTAACAACTGTTGTTTTAATATACAGAACAAAAGAAACTAATGGTAATTGCTGCAAACAAGAGATTTTAACAGAAAACTCGCAGAGGTCACTACCATCTACAAATACCAATTCTGTTTTTAGCTCTCTGCTGCAATTCAGGAGCAGGACAGCAGCTAGTCTACTGCCTGTAGTCCCATGACACCTCTCACGATGATACTCTGCCATTTAATTAATCAGAGCTGAGGGAGCACTGTCATTTATGGTGTGAGATGGTAAAACTGCTCCAAAGACAGCACCACAGTAGGACAAGTGCGCTGAGTAAGGCAGTCAGGAGTGAGCTGGTCAAGCAGAGTCATACGCCCTTGCTGGTGCAGCTGGATGGCACTGTGTTATTGTTACTGCCACCAAGAAACCTCACTGTTTCCAGGTGTGACCTTACCCATTTTTCTTCTTTAGTTCTTTCCTTCCGTATGTGAAGCCAAGACATTAGCACCATGCACTGTATGAATGGATCTACCACTTCCTGACTCATATTACTGCCAATCCAGTATAAAATCAGCTCTGTTAAAATCCTGTGGTGGTTCTATACACAAACTATCGAAGTATATCACAGCACTGCTGACGTGCCATATTTCCTGTGCCAGTTTGGATGAAAGGACTCCACAAGAAAGCAAGTGAGTAGGCCTACATTAAAAAAAAATTGTTTTGCCATATCTTCTTTCACTTGACCTAATTTATCTTTTACGAATGCTATATTAAGAAAAACAACAAGTCCTTTCCATGGTATGCTATCTGGATGCAAAATATAGGATATCACTTTAGTCTCGTAATTCTTCTAGAGCCTTGGCCAGTGAACAAGAATTATTCACTCCTGCTACTTTCTGTACTTTTGTTACTCTCACTTAACAAGACTGCATAATGCCTCGCACCATTAAGTCTTGATTTCAGTGGAAGATTTTCAACCAAAATTATAAATAAGTGATTCACTGAGGATCTCAATTTGTTTTTGTAGAATTACAGCTTATCTGTGGCAAATAACTGGTAAAATGGACAAAAAGCCTGAGATTTTTGTTGAAATTCAGCGTACTAATGAGGATGACAGGAAATCACATTTCAATGACACACAAGCTTTGTTTCTGCCATATATTGGTACTTTTACTGTTGTTATCTGAGAAACACCATTGGAATAGAGCTTCAACTACTTTTTCATCTCTGTAAGAGACTTTCAAACATAATGATGGATCAATAATTTGTCTGGATGTGGTGTGATGGTACAGCAAAATTCAGAGTGAAACATTCAGATAATAATGCAAGAAAATAGGAGTCTTTCTGATATCAAAGTCCTTCTAATAAGAAGATTGATATGCTGGGAGAAAAAAAGTACTGATAATTTTGCAGAACAGTGACCTTATTGACATGACAGTCTTAGGGCTAATTAAATTAATGAGAAGTATTTCACTTTGTTTTTATCTCAGAGCCCTAACAAAATTTACTAGCACCATCAAGACTTTTTTTTGTCAGTGGAAAAGCTCAGAAAGATCATTTTCATATAACATGCATCATATGAACAGTTAAAAAGTTCTTGAGCAGCCTTTTAGTAGTAGTCACGTTGAATGGATAGATCTCAATTTCTCATCTTTTCCTTAATTCATTATTTTAATTGAAATCTGCAGTGAATAAGGTGAAATATTCTTAAGCAGACAAAACAGCAAAAGGTCTTTATGTACATATTGTTATGAATTTAACAAACAGCATTTTTATTTTGTGCAAATGGCATGCTGAAGTTCATAGTAAAAATGAAGTTTCGCATCTAGTTTTGGTGACCATAGCTTTTTCAAAATGAAAGAGGTGTTTCTGAGACTCAAAGAGAAGCAAGGCTCTGGATTTGATCAGAAATGTTAAAGTAAATCTAGCAACTGAATAGAGATGAGAGGAGACACTGATGCTGTGAAAAAAAAAAAACACAAAAAACAGCAAATGTGCAAAATATTGACTCTGGTGGTACAGGAGTAAAGATAATCACAGCAAAGAACAAAAAAGAAAACCAAATTTGTGTGGCACAATATGTACTCTAATCGGCTGTGTGCATGTACCGGTCAAACTACTACACTGAGATGAGCTACAGGTTACTGAGCATGGATGTAACTAATGGCCACTTTTATTTTAAATGAAGAAACACAGAAGAGAGGGATGTGACACCAATTTTGAAACTGATGTTCTCAAAAAACAAAGTTGATTATTGTTTGAGTGTGCAAAAGCAATGGAGAATTTTTCACTAATAAACCACTACTAGTTCTTCATTACTGAACTCATAATATTCATGAGTGTGTAAGAGATGATCAGCCAGAGCACTGAAATCATGTTTCCCAGCTGAAGTCGACTGCATTAAATAAAAACCTCAAGAGGGCTTTTCCCTTTCCTTTTCCCTTCCCTTCCCTTCCCTTCCCTTCCCTTCCCTTCCCTTCCCTT